ATCTGTTATTTTTTATTCCTGGTCAATTGTTAACAAATATTTCTAAGGAGGCTAAAAGAGGGTTGGAATCTATACAGTTATTGCTATTATCATAAGATTTGACAAAGTTTTAAGCGGCTGACTGCTCCTTTATATCATCATTTATGTCAACGGAACCATACCAGTAGCAAAGTCCTACATCTCATACATGTTATAAAAATAGATTTACTTTCCAAACAAGTACAGATGGTATCGTGCTTCCCCTCAACGCCTAAGAAGCTGGGAATAACGGTGGCATACTTCCTTGGTGGAGCTTCATTTTTTGCATATGGTTTGCATCTTTCACATGTAAATGCTGCTCCTCAACAGGCTCGGATCAAAGCTCAAAATGAGCATAACAATATAGCATGCAGTAACAAGTGTCAAGAATTACTGTGGGGTCTTAATTTGGCTTGTTTAATCATGTTTGGCTACGCTTAAAATGGTTTACTTTTAAGTAACTTAATCATAAGTTATCCAATGATATCTGCAAACAAAAGTAGTTGAAAAGTTACTTTAGTTTTTTATTAAGCTTAACCAAACATGCTTTTAATCTCTTGACTTTACTTTGACAGCAGCATCCTGTGTAGTCCCTCATTTATGTCTTAACTTACAGACTCTGATTTCTTATATGTTACAGGTTGATTTTTGTGGCAAATCTTGCTACGAACCCTGAATATGTTACAAGTTTTGCTTATTGTATTTTACACAAGTTCTTTCAATTATTTCAAAGAGTTGAACGCAAAGGCAAAAGAGGTTGGGCAAGTTTATGACTTCTCAAATATTCAATTTTCCGTACATCTTCAAAACAAGGCTGGACATGGTCTGATTCGATTCGGTTCTAAAGAGAATCAAATCATACCCAAAAATTTTTGGTACATGGTAAGTGGAACCATCAGGTCCAAATTTAATTATAAAACTGTTTGGGTTCGATTCCGTTCCCAGGTTTCATACTATAATTAAATTTTTTAATATTTATAAAGCCACATTAATTCAATTAATTACACGTTCAATTTGACTATTACAGAATAACATAATTCAATCTTATATGTCTTTTGCATTACCCTTTGGTAAGTTCTTTATAGATTTTTAAAATCACAGAAAGATGAAGATAGCGAACTCACATAATTAAGAGATGTGCTATCAAATTTCAATTCGATTTTTCCTCGAATTGTAGAAATGACATTATGATAGAATAACATATTTGAGTAAAACTTATCATTATGTCAATTTGATTAAGTTGGGCATGAGCGGAAAATAGTAATGGTAATTTACCCCGTCCCGCCCCGCCCCACCCGTGCTCGGAACCCTCGCCGTAAAGAAAAAGTAAAAAAAAAAAATTAAAAATAATTTTATTTCTAGGCAATTCATTCGTTAAAAACTCATTTTAAATTTGTATTTTATTCTCTAATAATAACATAATTCGAAACTTTGAAAATGTAAAAAAAATAATAAAATTAAAAAAAAATCAACGGGGCAAAAAGTTGCCCCGCCCCTTCTAAGGCAGGGAATTTGTATTTTATTATCTAATAATAACATAATTCGAAACTTTCAAAATGTAAAAAATAATAAAAAAATAAATAAGATTAAACGGGGCAAAAAGTTGCCCCGTCCCAGCCGGGGCGGGGTGGGATTTTTGCCAAATGGGGCAGGCCGGGGAGGGGGTGCCCCGCCCCGTTGCCATCACTACTGAAAAATAGAAATAGAAAAATCACATTTTTGGGTTTAAACTAAATTAATTGGTTAGGAAAATTATTTAGAAAAAATAAAATAATTTGACTTATTTAAAATAAATAAATTAAAAATAGAGAAATTCGATTCTTGATCTAGAATCGGGAATATAACTGAACATGTCGAATATCGATTCAAATACAAGTTCGAGTATTTAATTTAGGAAGTATGGGTGAGCATCGAGTGAGTCAGCCCGGGTATTTCAATACTCAGAGCCACCCATTAGATTTCGATTATTTCGTAAATAGATCCATTCGGTTCCACGTAATTATTGGACCAAACTCGAACCATCGGTTCTGGGTTTTGTTCGGTTCTATCCATAACAATTTTTTAAATACACATTTAGTAAATACAATCATGTAATTAGACAAATTATTCACAAACTATCCATTGGTAGGGATGGCAATTCGAACCATCAAAATAAAAAATCGCGATTAACTGAATCGAATGGGGCGAAAAAAATCGAACCGATGGTACAATGGAACGGATATGGTATTTGATTTTAATGAACCGGTTCGGGACAGGGCGAGTATGGTATTTACGCCATCGTCCCGAACCGAACCGATTAACCGTTAGAAAAATTAATAAATTAATAATAATTGGACTTTCCATAATTTTTTTGATTTTTTCTATGTTAATTACTTAATTTCTTTGGCCCAAAATTTCTGGCCCATTAACAAATTAAATTTGAACTCAAGTACCCAACCCTGAACCCTAATAGTCTAAGACAAAGGCACAAACATTTTATTGGAAAATTGGAATCTCAACTCCTGTCTTCTAGGTCTGCCGAGTGCTGACTGCCGTCTCTTTCGCCTCCGCCCGTTTGCATTATTTTGTTTTTCTTCGGTCTTCAGGCTTTCGCCATTGGTGAGCTTCTCATCTTCTTTTTCGATAATTTGTATTTGTCTATTTGTTGTGAATTTCGTACAAGATTTGATCAAAGTATATCCAGAATTTTCAATTTTTCTACAATTGGTGGCCGCTTTAGAGATAAATGACTTTAATTTCTCTCCTCTTTGATGACTTTTGGCCTAAACAACACATAAACAAGAAATTGAATTCTTTAATTATAGAAACCAAAGTTTGGTGACGAGAATGTTGATGAAGAGGTATATTTTTTTGTTTAAATCTCCAGTTAAGAATATTATGGATTATTGATTTATTACTCTACTTACATTTCTTATATACTATATAGGAATCAACTTTGAGTTTTGACGTATGTTAGTAAGAGTTATGGGGAAGAATGAAGATTGAATATAATACATTTTTCTTTTTATTTGACTGATGGACCAATTAAAAATAATTTATTTTCGTGATTATTAACGACCCGAACCGAGCCGAATCGAGATACGAACCGAACTGAACTGAACCGACTTTCATTGTTATGGTGCGGTTATGGTATGATTAAAAAATTGGTGGTTCAGTGATGGTTTTGACCGAACCGAACCGTTGCCATCTCTATCCATCGGGTTATAGATTTAGTATCTGACATTAATTGAGTAATCATCTGAGACATAAACAAAGCCTTAACGATTTAGAAGTTACACAAAAAATTAATAAAATCGACTTAAAAAGAGCATTAAAAAATAGTTAGAATTTAAAAGAACTTTAATAGGAATATAAGACTAGCATAAAGAGCCAAGTTAAAATGGTGACCTAAAAAAATCGAGTTTTTTGAAGTAATCATATCAATACCCAAGAAAAATTCAAATTAAGACTTGAAGATAACATAATAGGGAAAAATAAGTATGTATTGTAAGAGTTACAAAAATTACTTGTGGTGTCAATGTAACAGACGAAGCTATTATAACAAGAGTAATGTTGACGAGAAGGAAATGCAAAGAGGGAACTGGGAAAAAAGGGCGGCAAGGGATTCTAGTGATTGAAAGAGGAAAATGTGTTATTATCTTTACAGGTTTGGTATTAGATTATACTTAAATTGCTTTTGGACAATATGTATATCTATATTTGGACTTAGGTAATTAAAAAGGGGCCAAAAGCTTTGGAATTGATATTTTCTTTGGGCTGAATTGAGCAACCTATTTAGTGTTTAAAAATATAAAATATCGGTTACATTCGGTTACCCATAGTTCCAATTCAAGAACCAAGAATCGAACCAAACCCACTCGATTCTCAATTTCAGTTCCTATTAATTTCTTTCGAGAACTGAACCAGAACCTCCAGTTTCGGTTCGAAATATTCGGTTCCAGTTAAAATTGTCTACCCCTATTAGGAAGAACCGCTCTATTCGGTTCGGGTCCAGTCCGGTTCGATCGGTTCGAGAATTTTGACCAACCTTAGGTCATTCGTCATTCACTGATCAATATGGATTCATACTCAAGCATTTGTTCTAATAATTTTTCAGGAGTCGAAATGAATATTAACAATTTTGTATTTTTTCCCCCCCCCCTCAATTTCAGTTCCTATTAATTTCTTTCGAGAACTGAACCAGAACCTCCAGTTTCGGTTCGAAATATTCGGTTCCAGTTAAAATTGTCTACCCCTATTAGGAAGAACCGCTCTATTCGGTTCGGGTCCAGTCCGGTTCGATCGGTTCGAGAATTTTGACCAACCTTAGGTCATTCGTCATTCACTGATCAATATGGATTCATACTCAAGCATTTGTTCTAATAATTTTTCAGGAGTCGAAATGAATATTAACAATTTGGTATTTGGTCCCCCCTCACCCCAACATTTTGGCAACAGTTGTGTAATACAAACTGTACATTCTCCAGTCAAAAAAGTTGAGAAGTAATTCAGTAACTGCTTTAAAGTTGCTTATACTATATATCAGCTCATGTTCTCGTTATTCAGTTCTTTTCAGCTGGACGAAGTTGTGACGGTCGATTTTGTAGGGTGAGGGATCTGGGTAACTTTGAGGACTAGTTGCTGATAGATTTCCTTATTCTATATACGATCACCAATGGACAGGAATTCTTTTCGCCATACTACACATCTGGGCCACTCCTTATTCTGTTGGTTCCAAGTTGAAATAGAGGTTTCTCAAAACTGACATGAATATCTATGTATTACTCAGAAATGAGAGGAGCTAGCATAATTATCTTGGAGAATTTTGAGTATCCATGAACTCTTACTCTTCATACCGTAATCCATTTGTGCCATGTAATGAATAATGCAATTGCTTGCATTCATATATGTACCACATTATCCCACTACAATTCTTTGAAGATGAAATCCCATAAAAATTTCAATTTTTTATTTCAAGCTAAGGGAAGCATGTTCACTTAAGATGCACCATAGCAATTAGAGCATGTTATTAGCACAACAGCACTGTAATGCTATTACCCAGAGACATAGAAGAATAATATTTCTAGAAAATTCATTACACGACAGTTCAAAATTTCAACTAAACAGGAGAAAGATCGAGCAAACTTCTGTCTTAAAGAAAGCGTGAGAGATAAAACGATTTTGAGAGATTTTTCTTAGTTCGAGACAAATTTAGGAAGCCCCGCTGGCACCCTTTCCCTTTTTCCTTTGAAGTTTCTTCATGTAAAACTCCAACTCTTTGCCCTCCAAAATATATCTAATCAAAATATTAAAAAAAGAAAAAAAGAAAAATCATCATCAGGGAAACATGTTCAAGCATGATATAAACAAATGACAAAGAAACATGTATTCATCTTGAAATAAGTGATCACAAAAGATTATTTTTTAGTAAATAAAAATTCATCTAGAAGAAAATTAAAGCATGTAGTGAAACAAATTAACATATTATTCTGATGTTTTCAACCATCCCAGTAGAAAAATATAGCTAACGAAAAAAGTTTGGGCAAGCTTGATTTCAGGAATAATGTGGCAATAGAATAATGTCATACAACGTAACCTACAACCATATCTGTCACATTGGATAGATTAAAAAAACCCATCTTCTCTTAAAATACATGTGTAATCTTAGTAGCTCCATTGAATAAATCTTGTGTTGACACTTCTGAGTGGAAAAAATATTCTGCAAAGACAACAGTAGGTAGGTACATATCCTGAAAGTATAATGATGCACAGTGATGCATGGGTCCGAAAGGGGTACTAAGACAAAAGTTAATTCAATGGTCAAGAAACAAAGGAAGTATGGAGGAATATACATACCCATCAGCACGACCACACTGGCCTGGGCGTGAAGAGATTGCAGCTAAAAGACGTCCACTGCCAAATTGCTCCTCAACATGTGGATCAAGCTTGCGATCCTGTTGACGCTTCTGCAGTTTCCTCTCAACATGGTTGCTTTTCTTCGTCTCTTCTACAGCACCCTCGGCCTCCTAAAACTCAGTCAAACAAAATTGTGAGCAAACTTCAGAGATGAGATTTTGCTGAAAACCTATGAAGTACAGAACAATAAACATCATTTGCATACAATTGAGCTGAGCTCTCAATCTCCTCTTTCATCTTAAGATGATCATTTCTTTTATTTACACTTAGGTTAAAAATTATCTTCACAGAGAATGTACATTCGCAATTTAATGGAGTCAATTAACATAAACTGTGCGTGCTATTGTCCACGCGTATTTTAATACTTGACTAACAAACATGGTCTTCCTATATCCACCGCCCAAGTCTAAGGAAAAGGACACCACCCCGCATGTTCTAACGATTGTATGCTTCGATGATGAACTTGGTGCACCCCAGTTTGTTCATCAGATTATATCTCTGTGGATCAATTACATTTTGGTAATTTTGAAATTATTAAGCCCACGTAAATGCTGTTTAAAACATAGTTCGCATGAGAATGAGCTAACTAGGTCAAATCAGAATGGAAATGGCCATTGTTGTTCCAATTATCCATTCATGGCTACTACTACTGTCTCTTCAAAACTATAAAAGCCATAACTACAAAACGAAAAGGATTTATTTACATCAGAAAGAAAAAAAATGCTGTTTCTCTTCCAAAATTTTTATGTGCAACTACTACAGAAACACTACTGAGGTAATTGATGATAACAGACTACTGTTTCAAAAATTACTTAGAGATTCAGGGCTTGTTTGAGCCCCATTTTTGGTGTAATATGCATTTTGGAATAATAGATTGATGAAAATTTTGTCGTTAAAAAATAATGAAAAGCGTTTGATTTGCCTGTAATATTATTTTATTGAAGAATGTAGTGTTAAAAATAAGAAAGAGAAAAATGCATTTTAAAAATAATGTAGATCAAATAAGGGCTCAATTACTTCCATTTACCAAAAAATATTCTCAGTTAATAGTTTCTAAGGTTCTTCTCAGAAAGAAAAACCGCATAACCCCTAAACTCTCATAAAACAAAAAAGAAAAAGAAAAAAATAATATTTCCCAAGCTATCCTCCCCCACAACCCTCCTCCCCAACAACCCAACAAACACCAGAATCGAGGCTAGGAAGATGAAATTTTCTAAAACAAATTCTTTTTTGACTTAAGGGTAGTTGTGTTTTATGCAAAATTTCCATAAAAGAAAAGCTTTTAGAAACCATAAAAGGGGTAAGTGGTGCAAAACAAACCTCCAGTCCTTTCATTCAGGCTGTCTCTGTAATCTTTGAATTGAAAAATGGTGTCTCAATAACAGTCATTTAATTCAGGCTGTCTCTGTAGTTGTCCCTTTTTATTTCAAAAAGTCAAGTTTGAATTTACAGTTATGCCATCAAGGCTGCAATATTAGTAACATCGAGCCTACTTTTATGTATTCTTCATTTTAATAGGTCTATGTGGTTACATGAAGATGAACCTTTAAATTCAAAGTTTATTTCAAATTAAAAACCCACATTTTAGTAAACAGCTCTTTTGTCATTAATTGTTTTTCCATCACACTGGAGGTAATAGATTGTAATGTTAAGACAATCTAATATAAAAAAGGTACTTATTTTACTTTGTCCTAATTCGAATTGTGTATTTAGACGATAAGTTTGCCTGCAACAGTGTCAGCAAAATCCAACTAGACACCACTTCATGCATTGCATAACGTTATTATGCTTAAATATCATGTCTGTCGCTCTTCTTATATAAGTTATATTAATCTACAATTTTTTATGATTTCATAATGTCAGAGCCATGGGCATGCAGAAAACATGAACACCAACTGATACCATTCCAATATTTCATGATTGATATGGAAATATGAGAAACTATACAGAAACTAACCACATATGAAATGCAAATGTTGAGCTACAAAAGAATCACGAACGCAGAAAGCATGACATCTTCATAGATGAAGGAAAAACCATTAAACAACGTAAAAGATGAATACCTCTCCTTCCTTCTTGGCCGCAGCTTTCTTCTTGCGACCAATGTCAACTCCATAGTGCTGAAGATACCACTGCTTGAAAGGTGCAGCATCCACCTGAACAATTGCGCTCTTCACCAAAGTTTGGGTCCTAACCAACTCATTGTTCGAAGCATTATAAACCACATCGAGAATACGAGTCTTCCTGGTCACAGCCTCACTACCCCAAGAATAGTTCCCTGTGTCCAACCTCAAGGCGCGCCATTTCACATTACCACCACGAACCCTCACCCTACGCACTGTCTTGTTACTTGACAACTTTGTGTTTGCTGGCTGTCTACCAAGCTCATACCTTGGGAAGGAGAAGATAGGTTAGTCAAAAGAAATTCTCATGCAACTCAATGGACACGGCAATAAGACAATAACAAACCATTATACTTATCCACGTTTAGATTTCTTAGATTTGTTTGGATCAGATTGAATGTTTTTCAAATGGATGGACTCGATTTCTAAAATGAACAGTGAATCAAGAACTCAGAATAACAATAAAGAATTAGTAGCGGGCACAGAAAGCATTATAGAATCGATTTATTCCAACAAGGTTCAGGCGATTTTCAATTGAAACAATAACATACTATTATAGGAAATCATCAGAATCCCATCGATGAATATAACAGATAAAAATCAGTAAAACGAAGACCAAAATAGTTTTCCAAAATAACAAATTCGAACGACAAATAACTTTATAAGATCATATTCATTTATCATAATGAAAATTACTTTCTCTTCTTCCTCCAAGCTTTCTTCTTTCCTCCAGTGGCACGCCTCTTGTGCATGGAATCCCGTGAAATACCTGTACATTTACATAATTCGCGTTAATCTTAACAAGTAAGCTCTTGAATTAATTTAAAATTTATAAATTCAAAGGAGATGAATTGCACAGATTATTTCATTACCCATGGTCGCCGGCGGTAGTTTTCAGGGTTCCGGTGAATCCCCCCAGCAAAAGCAGACACAGAAAAAACGAAGGAAGTGCCCCCAACAAGAGAATTAAGCTTTTATATCTTCACTCGAAACCCTAGTTCACAGAATTACACAGATACCCTTATACTTTTAACAAAAAGTCGTCGATGTCCTTCTAAATTATCATTAATTGCAAAGACACCTACAGATCTTTATATTGTGGCACAGAACCCCTTTATATTTGACGTATATAAAAAGGGTGCAAAATATTTTTTTATAGAAGAATTTTCAAAATAAATAATCTTGTGAATGAAAAACATTTCATTATTTATTTTTTGTTTAAAAGCCTCTTTCATGTGTCAAAAAAACTAAATTTGACATCGTTAAAAATACCATCAATAATTTGCATCATTATGATGATTTTGACGCGCTCGTCAATGAGCTTGATGGATACATATTGTCCATTTTAATTTATTTTTTTCTTCTTCAAAAGCCTTTCTTAATTACTTGTTTATGAACACGTGCATACTACTCTACACAAGTACAGGTTAAATGGTTCAAGCTCATAAACCCTCTCTTTCATTCATCAATAGTGCCCTAGACCCTGGTCGATAACTTTTCTAGACCAGGATCGATATGTGTTGAACATGACTCATCTTCATTGCCAAATCTGAAAAATCAAATTGTCTTCGACTATGAAGGCAATATTTCCTCCAACGACAACGAATGTAATTTTTCCTCGTATAGCATTACCTTTAAGGATAAACTAACGAAAAAACTGTTTGAAACCTCAAGGGATTCATATTGCTTTCCAGCATTCATGCTTCTAACCATTTAAATTACAGATAAATTTTTGGGGAATAGATAAGTAGTACTTGTAAATCCCTTAAAATGTGTTAATGCTACGTGTAACTAATTCGAGGTCACTATGATTAATATTTAGATGTGATAATAGTAGAAGAACCGTGGTAGTTTCAGTTTATATAAGTAATTCACTACTACTCTGAAACATTTTAAGAATTAAACTGTTACTCGTAAGTTAAAAAAAAAATTGCTTCGAAGATTAAAGATTGCCTCATTTTCTGAGAGTTTGGCAAAAAGATGAAAAAGACTCCTTAAGTTCGTTAGGAAGGGGGATTGACAAAGGAGTCAGCACATTGAAGGGCCTTCTTTTGACACCCGAGGAAGCTGGCAAAGCAAGTGCAGGCTGCTGCTTGTTTATACCTTCAATGATAAACGAGAACGCCCCAAATGTGAGACAGCTTTGAAGTAGAGCTTGTGGGGCACCTGGAAAGATAAAATAGCAAAATCAGATAAAATTTCATACCATCAGATTTACCCTTGGTGAACATACATACATGCATGAAAAAATTCACCACCATGGAAGAAGAAATGATGCAATTTAACACCAGAAGAACCACACCATAATAGTAGACCTAATCTTGATCTCACTTTGGAAGCCATTATTAAGTAGCATGGCAAGGCCAGACACGAGGAAATAAAGAGGACGAATTTGAGATTTGGAGGCTCCCAAATGAAGTCAAATTTATTTTGAAATAAAGCAGGATATCCAAGTCAGAATATAAGAGTTAATTGTATTATTTCGAACAGTAATAAATGATTTTAATAAAATCAGGATGGCGTTGCCAAAAGTGAAGTCCTTAGACACCTTCAGATGCAAAGGAGCTTGAGAATTCTAAAACATATTAAGTCATTCTCTAAATTGGTTATACATAATGTATGCAAGAGTGCATATAACACAAATTCAACCCTGGAGAAAGGAGGGGGAGGGAAGAGTACAAGATACCTGGAAAGCTTAGAGCAAGGCCTGTGCAACATCCCGCAACTCCTGCATTGATGACTGTAGAGAAATAAGAGAAGTCACATGAAATTGAATGGTCATTAAAAGAAGTAAATTTCAATTGAAGATGTCTTACCATCATCTTTCCCCCGCAACCTCTTCAAAAAGCATACAACTAAACTGTGAACTCCAGACAAAACTGCAAATTTCTGGGAGGAAAGTAATATAAAAAAGAATTAAGATAAAAGATCCGTGCCATTAAAGCTGTGGATGAGAAAGTTAGCGAGTTGACCAACAGTTAAAGTACCCATACCTTAGCAGAAGACCCTGCATCAGCAAATGATCCTTTCAAACCTTTCTTTTTAATTAATCCTGAACCTGAGACACAGATCACAGCATTATATTATGAATGATCATTGCAAACTCAGAATGCAAGATATTTTATTAAAATCCTAGTAGGCAAACTAGAAGAAGTCAGAATGAATAGTTTATTAAACACGGAATTTTTGCATCGATAATGAAGTTTTAGTCAATAGGATCATGGTTCCAATAATAATCTGAATAAATGGCGTCACATTAAAATCTAGTCAGTCGTGGATATTTTCACAACCTCTCCACCAGGGAAGCCAACAACACCATTCCGATGTTTGCATAACCTGGCCTTTGGAAATCACCTTAGTCATAGTTCAAATAAGTGTATTCAAATCATTACTAGAAATTTTCGCTGATATCTGAAACAGAGGAAAGGATAAAAACACAAAACATCACGCATAGAAAGATTATCCAAAGAGTAGTACGGACAAATTCTCCATGTCTCTGAGGTAGATTTCATATAGGCATCTACAATTGAACTGCAATTACATGTTTGGCAGTACTAGCCAACATAAAAAAAAAAAATTTATCTTACTTTTTCTTAACAAACATTATCCAACCCTTCCCTGCCAGATACTCCATTAGTGCCAAACGTAACCTCGGTGAATTGTCATAATATCCCAGCTTAAACCAACACATATATAATCTACTTAAATAACTAAACAAGAAAAGAAATAGTAAACAAACAAAAATTAGGTTACCGTAGCCGAAAATGGATCCCGTGAAAGCACCAGAGGCTGAGTCACCGGCGAAACGAAGTAGGCAAACTAGCGGAGGACTTGACGGATTGGCGGTAATGCTGGCGGTTAGTGCATCAAGAGACACGTTAGAAATAGGAGTTGGAATGTTCTCGACTTCGAAGGCGGAACTCGGATTGTTCGCCGGAGTCCACATCTTTAAAATTATAAACCCTGACGTTTGGTCAATCCAACGGTTTTCAACTTCTAGCTTCTGAAACTTTGAAGGAATTCTGAGATGAGATAATTTGTTCTTATATACCCTTTTGCAAGACGTCGTCGTTTGTAGCATTGCCCTCCCTGCCGACGAGTCCAGCGGATTGTTCGGTAATATTTATGAGAAATAATTTTTTGACCATTAAATAGAAAAGTAAATCTCACATATGAGTAAAGAAAAATGAGTAATTGGTACAAAACGTCCATACATTTCAAGTTTATTGTGGAAAACGTCACTATCTTTTATTTTTTATCATTTTGCCCCTACCTTCCAGCTTTCTGTGCACTGAACGTCATTTTCATCCATTTTTGACAATTTTACCCTCTTATACGAATATAACAAAAAGAAAAGAAAAAAATAGATAACTAATTGCAACAATGATCCCAAAGTTCCAATAAATTACAAATGAATTACAAGCTTTTTTTAACTCTCAGCAAAACCAAAAATATGAAACTCCTCAATAATGAACAAAACCATCAAACGAAGAACGAACTTCAATGGAGGAATACCAAGACCATCAAGTTGAGTTCAAATTAAAGACAACAACCAAAGTCGGCTTTGAACTTGGACGAAATTGCAATGGAAGATCAGGGACCTACTATGTTCTAGCCAAACTAAACCAAAGAAATCCCAACAAATTTGAACTTATGAAGATCTAACAAGGAAAGCCAAGTTGCTGACCAAATAAGAAACTCCAAAAATGGAGCTGGAATCTGGCCAAACAAATAAACTAAAAACCTAAAGGAGCTCAAATCTACCTTTGACAATCAATGAATAATCTCACCCGAAACTTTAATGAATCTAGACAAACAGTAAAAGACCCAAACCAGTGAACTGAAAAGGTTTGGGTATGAACAGAGCACGTTATAGTACCGATACGAGAGGTTTTCCTTTGAAGTGCAATTGAACTAAGCCATACTGGGATGGAGTATGCCAGAGCCGAGTGTTCTACAGCGGCAAGAAGTACCGTAGGTTGTGGCGAAGCCAGTGCGAAAGTGGCTGTGTGGTTGCAATTTATAATTTTTTGAAAATTTGTAACTCATCTGATTTTTTTTTAAAAATTGGGACCATGGTTGCAATTAGTTTTCTATTTTCTTTTTCTTTTTCTTTTCTTTATGTTTTATTTGTATAGGAGAGTAAAATTATCAAAAATGGATGAAAAGGACATCCAGCGTGTAACACCCCGAATTTTTTTTACTATTTTTCGTATGGACCTAAACTTAATATTGATAATTTAGCAAATGAAATAGTCCATGTCTAGATTAGTCGTCACACTAAAAGTTCGAAAATTTAAAGTGATAAACTCGACTTACTCATTTGAATAAATGATTTATTTGCTTATGTATACTTTTAAAATTTTATCGAAAGTTAGTTGGGTTGAATATTTAACTATTTAAAAGTTAATAAAAAATATATTAATATTATACTCGTTTTGTAGCTCATATTAAATAAAATAAATTGGGCTCAAGAAGAAATGATTTTTGAACTATTTATATCCAAGTTATCTTAATAGAAAGAAAATTAATCTAAATTCTATATTTCATTAATAAGAAAAAAATAATAATGAAAAGAAAATTTTCATTCCAATTCGTTACAATTATTTGGAATTTGAAAGGGATATTACAAATTAAGCATGATTAATTCATTAATTTTGATAATAATTAGTCTAGTTAATCTCATAAAACTCCTAATTTACATCTTACACATTCGAAATAAAATTATTAAATTAAAAAGTCATTTGTTACTTGGAGTTACTGCTGTATGAGAATTTTTTTTTTTATATATGGTTGAAGTTTTCTTTTAAACATCAAAAACTTCATTTCTTACAATTTGGCACAGCACACTTTTTTAGAAATAAATTTCCCTTACTATTATTCTACAATCATATTTTCAGATTCATTCGGTATCAAATTGGGGTAAGAATACATTGTGTAAGTAGTAAATTCTTATTTCTTGATATTTATGTAAATTTGGTATGAATTACTATAAGGCCTCCGGATCGAATTCTATGTTAAATCTTTTGGGATGGACCGTTAGGCCAAAGATGTTAAATCCTACGGGATGGACCGTTTGGTCAATATGTTAAATCCTACGAGATATGGAGATTCTTAAGAAATTCCTTGAATTATTGAAATCGCCACCAGATTGCTCTAAATCTAAAAAACGTCGGTATGTTATGCCATATCATATTAATAAAAATATGCACGCATTTTTATTGAGTGTTTTCAAAATACTCGTTCTTACACTACTTTACAAATTAGAACGGGTCATGTGGAAGATTGATCGAGTGATGTTTATGGGGTCGCCAAGTAAAAATTTTAAAAATGATTATTGCCAATTTCTATTTCAAAAATAATTTTATGTTTAATTCCGTGCATGTTATTTTTGTAGTTTCGACATTTAAGTTATTTAACATGTTAAATTGACAATTTAATTCATAGTATTTTAAGCTAGATAAAATTCAAAATTTTATTTTGAATTGTTGAATTCAAATTATTGATTTATTTATCACAACTTAGAATTTCAACCCTTAACAAAAGCGATATTTCTGTTTAAATTAGATGAAAAAGAATTTGATAACATCTCGAGCCTATTTTTATAAAATAAAATAAAATAATAAAGATGGAAGTCATTTCGGGGCATTATACAGCGCAAAGAAAGCTTAAAGATAGAGACGAAAATAACAAAAAAATGAAAGGTAGGTATATTTTTTCACAATAAACTTGAAAGGTATGGACGTTTTGTGCCAATTATCCAAGTCAAAAATGACGACAGACTTAGAAAAATAACGATCAAAAAATTAATTTTTTTGGGTAAAAAATAAGAACCAAACAGGAGCTAAAACACGTTTTATTTGAATGCTGTTCCACCTAACCGATGAATGAGTAAATCACGAGCTAGGAAAGTCATCTAACCCAACTTCAAGTTCCAAAATAACAAAAGATGATTGGTCGGCAAATGGCAACTACCTTTTAGCCAATGGTTTTACAAAAGTTCAAAAAGGCAAGTGAAAATAAGGTTGTCGTGAGAAAAGAAACGAGTGAAAGAGAAAGGAGAGGATCCCGCACAATGCTTAAAAACCCTGTCTTTCATTAACTAAATTAGAGTAATGTTTATTTAATGAACAAATAGGGGTCGATAAGAAACGAGTGAAAGAGAAAGGAGAGGATCTCGCACAATGCTTAAAAACCCTGTCTTTCATTAACTAAATTAGAGTAATGTTTATTTAATGAACAAATAGGGGTCTTATCGACCCCTCACATGGGGTCGACCCAACGCGGGCCCCAATTTACCCAACGCGGGCCCCAATGTCATAAAAAATGATTAAAAAAAATTCGATCCCACCCTTATGAGGGGTTGATAAGACCCCTACAAGTGCTGGGTCTGTACTTCCGACACTGCCATATTTAATACAATTGGTGTTAGTTTATGTGGGCCAAGTGCCATTAATTATTAGATCATCTTCAAAATGGGAAATGAAGGTTGAACCCCAACCTTAATGGTCCCCCATCGCCCCCGTCCTGGAGTATCGTGAGGGAGGTAAATTGCAGGTTATGCCTAATAGGGTACAGGGTGGAAAGCTACTTGTACACTTGCACTTACCCAAGAGCCAAATCCATATTTCAAGATTCGATCCCTTGACGCGACAGCCTCAAGTAAAACTGAATTTCTCCACCATTCCCTTTTATCACTTGGAGATGTGCCCTGGGGGCTCTTCAAAATGGGAAATGAGTAATACTTAAGGTGGTTTATTACTTGCATGCTGCCTAACATGGTGCCTGTAACACTATTAGGGTTACGTAGCATGATTCAAGTTTCATCTACTTTTACTTTAAAAAATTTAGTATTTGGAACTAAGCCTCTGTTTGGTTTAATTAAAATTCAGTTTATTATTATTATTATTTTGACAGTAATATATAAAATATATGATTAAAAAGTTGATAAAAATTAACTTTATACAATACATAATTGGAAATGAGTTTAAAAAAAAATGAATGTAATGAGAGCCATACATGAGCTAAATAAGATCAAGGGAAAAATACATAACTACAATACATTAAGAATACCGTTTCACATTTACCGAATTTATTAAATTAAAATTTTCAAAAATCATGTATTAAATCATTAAAAATATAATACTAAAATATATTTATCTTTCTATATAACCTCTTTAAGCCCTTGTTTGAGCCCCATTCTTTTAGAAAAATACATTTTTCAACAATATTTTGACATCATTTTAACCACATATTCTTCAATAAAATAATATTACATGCAAATCCAAAACTTTTCCTTATTTTTTAACCACACATTTTCCATCAATACACAAAATGAGATTCAAACAAGAACTAAATAACATCTCTCTTTTTAAATCTGTGCTTTGATCGGTCTTTCAAAATGAGAAAGTAATCTCAAACGAGAATAAACTAATTTATAAGTATATTAAGTTTAATTAAATCTTACTATTCAGAAATGTAAAGTTTGATATCTTATTTTTGAAATGTAAAATTTAAAGGTGATGATTTGCTTAATTTTCCCTAAGATCAATTGCTTTAATGGAAATATTATGAAAATGTGGTCAATGGATGTAATTACCACTGGGATCAGAAATTTGTCGGCCCAATATGGGTCTGCATAGATAATTTGATATAGTTAACTTTAGGAAAAATTAGCCCAAGTACATTCCTTTTTGAAAACCAATAATAATAATAATAAATAAATAAAAATGTGCGCTTGATTACAAATATAGAATTTGTATGGAAAGAAGATAAATTATAAAAAATTTAATTGCCTATAACTTATTTGCATTTTCAATTTAAAAAATATTATATTTGTCTTTTTTTTACTAATGGATAAATGAGAAGGAGTGAATAGATGTGAGAGAATGAATTCCCTGAAAAATAAAATCATACTCCGTTAAAGAAAATATTTTTCTTGATTTTGAGAAAAATATGATCACGTGGTCAAATATAGAAAAATATTTTCGATGAAAAAAATGTCGATCAAATAATAAAAAGGAGGAATTTAGGTGGAGAAATATATGTTCCATGTAAAATATTGACAATCAAACATATCCTAATATATATTCTTAAGTTTAACAAATGGTTACCTAGTTTAATCAAACACTTAAATAAAAATAACCCATTTTTAACGAAAGTCAATTACTGTCATTTTTGCCAAAGAGTAAAAAGGTCTTCTAGTCAAGGGAGGCAAATGATTTCTTCCACAATTCTTTCGCAATCCATGATTTCATCAAATATGCTTTTTGTGAGATGGTTGGTAAGAATGATTGGTTTTTCTTTTAGGGTCAAAGAATAAAATTTGGGTGGAAAGAAAACGAATTTCAGGGAATTGAATTACCTAGAACTTGTTTTATTGATAATTGTCAATTAAATGTGTTTGATTTGTATAATTTTCTACCTAAAAAATATTAAAATTTTGGATATTTTAATGTTCGTTTGACTTTATTTTTCATAAAAATTGTCAATTAAAGAAATACAAATTGTTACAATTGTGGATAAAATTTGTTTCCATTGCAGCCAAAAATTTTAATGTTTGTTTGACTTTATTTTTCATAAAAATTGTCAATTAAAGGGATACAAATTGTTACAATTGTGGATAAAATTTGTTTCCATTGTAGCAAAAAAAAAAAAAAAAAAGGTACCCAAAAAACACTTTTTCTCCAAAACCTCAAAAAGCTAGAAAACAAGGACACATGAAGAGTATCACAGAAAAGATTTTCCATGGAAATTTTGGCTATCAAACATGTCAAAATAATAAAAAATGAAATTGTTCTATAGAAAACGTAACCTATCAAACAGACCATTATATTTTTAACTAAAGTAAAGATATATAAGTCTTTAAATCAAAATTTTGATCTTTTTAACCGTCAATTAGATGAAAATCATCTAAAATGATCAATTATGTTAATTAAGTGAAAGGTCAAAGAATGCTGTGTCAAAACTTGAAGTTTAAAACCATTTGCACAGCAGTCCTATAATTTAGGGACTATTTGAGCCAATTCCTGTGAATATCAAACTGCACGTGCTCTCTCGCTCCAATCCCAACTGCCAAATATTGACACTTTTGATTGGGTTACTCTCCCTATCGCTTGACAATAAAATAAGAAAAAGTTACAATAAAATAGAAAAAGTTGTATAGATAATCAAATAAAATAATAAATTCAGATATTATTATTTATTATTTAATGATTATTATTCTTCGAGAATGCTCGAAGGCCAAGATTTTCTGCGCGGTTCTCATCTCATCCTATTATCTTCCTCGTTAAGGGAAATTGGAGCAATTAGTCCCCAAACTTATGACCATCTTGCTCTTTTGGTGTCAAACTTTCAAATTTTGGCTTTAATGTCCAAAATTTTTGCAGTTAGGTGTGCAGTTGGTACGTTGGATATATTCGTTCCAAATTTGTTGTTACTTATATCGAGGGACAATTTTGTCAAAACTTAAATAAAATAAAATAAAAAATAACGAAAATCTTCGTCTTCTCCCACAACCCACTCACTTCATCCTAACCCAACCTCGACTTACGTGTAGGCAAAGTTATCAACACATGTTGAGTTGAACCAAAATCGAGCCAAAACTTGTCAATTTGTTTCGTTTCTACTCGAGTTCTAATTGATTTCATGTATTAAAAATTGAGAATAGCTCGATTGAGTTCTCAATTTCTAATATCAAGAATTGAAAATCAGCTTAACTTGAAAATATTATTTTACATTTTAAACGACGGCTTGTGTACTGCACCAAATATTTTACTTTTTCTTCTCAATTTCACCACAATACATCAAGCGCGTATTCAATTTGGTTTGTTGATATTTATAAACTCAAACAAATTCATCCATTAATTTTCATAGATGTGGATTTGGATTAATTAAAGGACAAGTTTCTTCATCATTTTTAAGCTGACACTTTTCACCATTCAAAATATCAAGAAAATGAAAGTGAGATTACAATACGTTTTTCAAAAACTCGTTCGAGCCAATTAGCAATGGCAACAGGACAGAGCATCCCCAACGAGACGGGACAGACGGAATATTTTGCCATCTGAAGCCAATAATTAACTAGTTGTGGTAAATTGTTGAGTTTAGTTAAATGTAGAAATTACAAATCATCCGCATCAATATAAATTTTTATAGTGGAGAGATTATGAAAAATTTAGATATCTAATCAATTATAGATTAAGAGCTTGGTGGGTGGGTCAAGTTGGTTTTGGTGGAGGTGGGATGGGTTGTTGGAGAAGACGGATTTTTTTTTAATTTATTTAAGTTTTGACAAATTTGTTCCTGGAATAAAAATAAATAAAAGATAAAATTGCATTTCAAGCACAAAATTAATAGTCATTTTGAATGAGATCCATCCAATAGACCAATTTGCTTACCTAATGGCGTAGGTTTGGATGCCAAAATTTAAAGGTGTATGACCAAAACAGAAAAAGAAGCATAGATTTGGGACCATTTGCTTTAATTTCCTTTCTTGGTATATTTTATACTTTGTACGGTTTCTCGTAAAACTCCTCATTTGCTAAGTGGTTGTCTTTAGTTTTTGATAATAGCCTCTGAGTTCGAAGAAAGTTGGTAACTTGGTTGATTTTGTGGTTGAAGGCAAGAAGTAAATTTTAGCTTTGTTGTTTTCTGCTTTGATTTTTGCTGTTTCCCTTTCGTTTTGTTTTGCTATTTTATTTTTTATTTTTTTTCTTAAAAATTGAACTGAAGACTGAAGTTAGTGTTAGCTCGCTTTTTTTGATTTGCGAGAGGTTTTGAGTCACCGACTCACTGTTTGGGTTGGAAAAATAGGTGTTTACTTTATTGGCATGTGGCGTTATCTTGATTGAACTGCTAATGGGTTTTGCTTAATTTCGGGGTTTTGAGGTGTGTTCTTATCAAATCGAGCGTAGGAAAGGTCTCAATTTGGGATTTTTTAAATTTTCCTTTGTATTAAGCTTTACCTGAGGACCTGAATTTTGGATATTAAGGTCTCTCGTTTATGAGCTTTTCCCCATTTTTCTCTCAAGCTGTTGAATGATTTTACCGTGAGTCAGTTTGACTTGAACATCTGCTTGTTAATTACGCCCTCCCGATTTGAAGTTTTTTTTTT